ATCCTTTTATGCTAAAATCATTTGATTGACATATTTTCAATAATAGGATTACTTTCTGGATTACTTGGTGGTGGAGGTGGAGGTGGAAGTGGAGGAGATGATGGTATGTATACATATATATATTTACAGTAATTACGTAATAAAATAAAATCTTATTACCGCATGTAATTTTGGCAAATTTAAAATGTCCAAAGCTGTTTTTAACTCACTTGAATTATAATTGATATATATACTCATTATTATGTAATAGAAAAAAACACATAGTCATAATGTCTTTTAAAGTAGACTTAAACGATTTTTTTGCAACTAAAGCTAAACCAAATTTCAGTGATGGTTTCTCGTTAGCCGGCATTGTCTTTGCCTTGGCTTACACCAACAACTGGTGTATGCCGATCATTAGCCAGATATCTGTGTGACTACGTACGATTCTCACTAACGTTTATGAGTGACATACAACTCAGTGTATATATATATGTATTAGTGCTGGTTTACACATTCATTAGCCAGTGTATACATATGTGGCAAATTAGCCAGCTAATGTGCCCATCACTGCCAAATTTTATATATAATATAAAATTAATTTATTAGCTTATTACAATTGTAATAAGATACCGAAAATTGAAATCTCTAGGTGATTGATTGATAATGGAAACACGTCTGATAGTTTGATAAGAACGCTTCATTCAAGAATATTGAGATTCCAAATATTAGTAGTCAATTGTTAATTGATCACGTTTGCTAAAATAATTATTATATATTTCTGATAGGTGGTTCTGATGGCGGCGCCGTCGGTAATCTTCTTACATCTCTTGTTGGTGGAGGTAGTGGAAGCGGTATGTACACCTACAGTTACCCTTGTGGAAAATTACTGACTGACTAGTTAACTAATTTGGGACGTTTTTGGCTAAAGTCAACTGAGATTGAAGTGGTTTTAAGTTGATTTGGCTGATTTTTCAGTCAATCCTAGAAGAGAAAAATACAACTTCAATCGCAGTTGACTATATAGACAAAAACGTCTCAAATTAACCATCTGTTTAAAATGACATACATAGACGACTAAAGTCGACTGGTCAGTTAACAAAATTCAATTTCAGTCGATTTCAGCTAACCAGTCAATTAGTCACTTTTTTCCACACGGGATATTACTTAATAGAATAAAATCTTGGCTTAAAGAGTGAACATAAACGACTAAAAGAGTATTTGCAACTAAGCAAAACATTCTTTCGTACATGATCATCGGCAAATATTCTTCAGATTTCCATTCAAAATTGTTCAAAAGTCAAAAGTTTTGAATTTTCTTATGTCACTGCAAATCTTGATCATTTTTGCTGAAATCATTATCATGAAATGATTATTATATTTCTGATAGGTGGACCCGGTGTCGTCCCTCAACTCCTTCATGATCTTCTCGGTGGAGGTGGAGGTGGAGGTGGAGGTGGAGGTGGAATAATTGGGTTACTTCAACAGCTACTCGATGATTTATTGGGTCAATCTGGAGGATGCACTGGAGAAAGTGGTCTAGTTTTCAACCTCATAACAGCCATTAAAAAACTACTTGAAGAAGTATTGGGTTCAGGAAGTTCCTGTTCAGGTTCTATTTTAGGTATAACATGAAAACAAATGTGCTGAATACAAAATATCACTCAAAATTTTATTGCTTGTAGACGGTACACTTTCAGGACTTGGAGAAGCCCTACAAAATTTAGTCGATTCGTTATTGGGCGGCGGCGATTCTGGAAATGGTCTAATATCGAAAGTCATAGAATACCTTTTATGCCTAATACAACAAATACTAGGCGGAAGCGGTGATTTGCCGAGTTCTGTGGTTAAGCTACTGAATAAAATCGTGCAAGCCATTATAGCATTATTGGGATCAGATTGTGGATGTAAGTTTATCTCCCTTTTTTATCAATTCAAATAAGCTCGAATTTTATAACTTGATATAAAAAAAATATCATCACATTTTAAGACTAAAATCTATACCGTTTACACATATTTTGTAGGCTCTGACTCACCCCCCGGAACTGGCACACCCCCGGGAACGGGCGCACCCCCCGGAAGTGGCTCACCCCCCGGAAATGGCTCACCCCCCGGAAATGGCTCACCCCCGGTTGAATGTTAATTGATTGTCGTGTTCCGGAATGATTTCAAGATGACCAAGCTTTTATTTGCATTATCTTTACGCACTTTCCATTATTATAATATTTCTTTTGAACATTAAATATTTTGAGCAATGAAATAATAAAGTGAAGTATTCTATTTTTCTGATCTAGCAAAAAATCCATACTTCCTTACCCAATTATAACATACGTGTCATTTCATGTTCGATGAATGATCGTAATTAATTTTTTGATTCAATTTCTCTGTGAATTTCTATTTAAAATTTAAAAAAACATTCGGTTTTTTTGACTGAAACGAACGATCATTGTCGAATAGAAACGATATCTGATCAATCAGTCAAATTCCCCACCGATATTTTCAGTCAGCTGAATCAGTTCATTTCACACGATGAATACAATAGTGATGGAAGTGTTTTTATAAACAATCTCTTCTATTGTTGTCGCTCCATTTCAGCGCATTACATTAGCTTTCTGAGCTGAATCAGCTGTCTGAAAAAAAAAATTATTATAATTCTCCAAGTTTTTTTATTCCATTCGGATCAAAATTTATGATCGAGGGGAGAATTGTCCTTCAAAATCCTTCACAAATCGAAAGATTACTAAAATTTCATGTCTCAGTTAATTCCCCCCTCCACCTCTGCCCAGCTATGTTCGCCATTGCAATTGATTGTGGAAAAAGAAAGAGAACACATAAAAAACGAAAAAACAAACGATCCTAATATACTTGTGTGCTCAAAAATCAATCAGGGTAATTCATCACTGGTTAACAATATCGTCATTGGTAATGTCGTTAGATAGGTCTCTTTGTATATATGATTCTCAATAGCCCAATAATTGTACTTAAATTCCAAATAACTTACCATGATAGTATTTGTAAAAGCAAACTGGATAGGCTCCAAAATAAAATTTCCAATAGACACCACCTAATTAGTTCAGTCCAACTATTTTGAGAGTTGGTTGATAGAATGAATTGAAATAGATTTGACGTTTTTTTTTTGCTGAATTATTGCATTTTATTTAATTATTTTTCTTTCGCTAGATTGATCATTGTAAATTGTGTTCTTTTATGCATTTTGGTTTTTCATCAATTTCCGTTTCGCGTTGAAAAAGAATCAATACATGACGATTATCACACATATAACACATCTTAATCCATTTTTATATGCAAATTCGAGATTATAAATGTTCGCTTAACAATACACAAGCCGGCCAGAAAAAAAAAAACAATTTCATTTTCATGTCGTATTGAAAATCTATCAAAAAATGTTGGTTATATTGCTTTGTATTCGATTGGTTGTTATTTTGTGATAATATCCTTTTTTGAGATGGGAAACAATTTATATATTTTTTGGTTAATTCATAAATTGGTTTGATCTTTACAAATCTCGATTTTGACCAATGATATCGTCATTTTGTTTTATACTTTATTCGATTGAACACATTAAATGAGAAACGAAATCGCATTCAAGAAAGAAAAAAATATGATTGAATAATTTTTGTTTCTATAAAAATGTAATGAATGAATGAATTTTGATCGGATGATCACTTAAATTCTATGGCAGTAATGTAAAGAAATTATTCGTTATTCCATTCCAAAAGAAAAAATGATTTTGAAGTGTTCGTATTATAAAAAGAACGAATGGACACACGAATGCATTTAGGTGAATTAAATGAAGAGAAATGATCAGTCTCTAATTAAAGTAGTTGAAATTATATATACGCCTAGTGCGTAAAAACGTACTTTTTTCTTTTTCGTATAAATTTGAAAAGTTGTTCATGATAATTTGAATATTTATCTTTTTTTAACTCTTTTGTTTTGAATTTGAAATTTGAAATTTTTTTGATTGAAAACTAATTCGTCCATTTAAATGCCAATAACTATTCATTTCATTTTCACTAAATTCTCGTTATAGTTGCGATTAAATGATTTTTACTATTATTATATTTATAGCTTGCTTACGTAAATACTCCTTATAAAATGTATGTGTTAACATTCTTTATGTGGATCGAATAAAGGTTCGAAACATACAATATATATATATTAGTTTAGAAAAAAAAAATTAAATGAAGCTCGATAAAATACTTCATAAAACGTAAAAAAAAATTAATAATTATTTGTGTGTTCAATTCGGGAAAAAAAGGCGAAAACAAAAGTTTGTTAAACAGAATTAAAAAAAAAAAACGTTTGGCAGTCTAGCGAATGTTACGATCCATTTGCTTTGTAACATAAATATAAATTCATTTGTAGTTCTCAAGAAGAAGAGAAAAAAATATAAGATTAATTTTTAACTGAAAAATGCTTAACATATTTTCTGGGGGATCTCTACCATTTTTGAATGGTTCATCGCAAAAAAATAAAATAAATAAAAGATTAAAATCAATTAACTAGAAAATGAAAGGAAAAGGTTTCTTTTTTCGGATTCAATGCCTGTTTCACGCACGCCGAAAACGAAGCTCAAAACACACTTCATTTTGTATACATTATATTTTTCTAAATGTATAATATAATTAATCAGACCAGTTAATTGTAATTAGTTTTTCCACGACTTACTAAAACGGCGAAACAAAAATGCGATCGCTTAACAAACCTACTCGATCTGTATGAATTTTTACTAAATGAGGTTAATCTTAAATTGAAGTTAATTTTTTATCGTTTTTTTTTTTTTGTTCTCAAACACACCTTTTCTCAATCAAATGCTTTTTTTTCTGCTTTGTATGCTTGTAAATGCTACTCCGTGTAAAATGTACAGTTCATCCCTCTCTCTCTCTATTAAAAAAAATTACATTGGCGTCCAAGTTTCAAACGCGTGCAATTAGACCGTTTCATACATTCTATGTATGCGGTTCATTTTCATGATTTTTCCACACTTTACCCTTTGGTAAATAACCCTTTGGTCGAAATTTGGACGATTTGTTGATTTGATGATAGTCATTGTAGTCATCCAAACTGTCATTTTCACCAGCATTCGGATCCTCATCATATTCCCAGGTGCGGAATTTCTTTTTGTATGACACCGATTTTGATTGTCGTTGATACTTCAATGGGATCTTGAGATTTGGCTCTGGCGCATCGTTGTGGTATGCATATTGATTTGATGTATTCAATTTTTCGTCACTGTTATGCAACATATACGGATCGTATGGTGATTGAGCTGAATAAATTGGCGGTGGACTGGATGGGCTTGGTGTACGTGGCATATCCGGTGGTGGAGGACTTTCAAGTACTTCGGCTGGTGATGTTTTCATAATTGGAACCACTGTTCGTAATAGATTTGTTGGCGCATCCAATTGAGATGAGGACGATGATGATGATAAAAATGTTCGACCGTCACTACTTTGATTGATGCCCGAGTCGGGACTGGTTGACGGTGCACCATCTTCAATCGAACGACGTGACGTTTTTGTTAATTCAATCGATGCAAATGCAACTAAACGATCAAAGCCCGAACTAACGCGATCTTGCCAATGCGATTCATCGTCTCCATCGTCGATACAAATCAGACCTGTATTGAAATGATTTTGAATGAAAACAAACATGACATGAGATGAGAACAAAATGACAAACCACAAACAAAACCAAATTTAAAAAAAATATATTCAAATCAACATTTTGTACATCAAACAATTTAATTTTACGATTAAAATATTTAAAAAAAAAAAGAAACAACTCGATTTGATTTTTATACATCATTTAAATCATATCACTGATGATGAAATACGTTCGAGAGAAAGAAAAAAAATTAATTTTATTAGTAAAAACAAAAACTGATGAGAAATATTTCATCAAATTATTATAAAGTTTACTTATTATATTGATATCATTATTACGAGCTTTGAAGTATTAAGAAATTGAGTTAAGGTGCACGCTTACGCATAAAGCATAACAAATCAATCAAAGTTTTTTTTTTTACTTTAACAAAAATCAAAAATTTAAATGCATTACATAGTTTCAAATCACAAATTTTCAAAGCAAATTCACTAAAAGCATTTAATTCAAATGGAAACCAATACAATTGTAAACAAAAACAAAGTCAGCGCTAAAAGTTAATAAACTAGCGGAAATTTAATAAGATACTTTCTAATAAAATAGTGACTTTATTATCAACGAAAACATTGCACATTGTTAACTGGTGTGGTAAATTAAAGAATAATAGGGTCAAGCAACAAGTACAATTGAAGCATAGAAAATAAAAGAAAAAGTAGGGAAAAAAATATATCAAGTTGGTGTAATTAGTTAAAAGTTTGTCGTGATACCTGCTTTAATTTAATAACACTCACCCAAAAACAAAACAAGAAATTGCGATTTTTTTCTACGGATATTTGGAAATAATATCTATTCTTGGTTCACACACATACTTCGTTTCGAGTCGAGTTCGGCTGGTATAGATTTTGGCATTGATTGGGGTATTTTGTTTTCACGATTGTTTTTTTTTTTCTTTGAGAAGAAATAAAAACAACTCAAAATTCAATATAAATTGACGTGAATTCAGTTTTGAGGAGGCAATTTTTTGTATTTTAGATCGGTACGTCATTTGTTCTTCATGGTTGTTCGGAACTTATGGCACGGCCGACGGATGTTGGAGTTGATATGCTGGAGAATTTCGTTTTCATTTTTGTTTTTGTTGGGAGAATCTTGTGTGTTTTTTTTTTTAGTTTTTAGTCTGTGTGCGATGTGAATGTGTTAGAGTGTAACTGTCGTTTGCTGCGAACTTTGTTCATAAACTGGCATTTAAAATTGAACTTTTGATTTATTAACCAATATTTTCATTCATTTTTGTCATTTTTTTTCGTTTTCGATTGTTCATCAAACATTCACGATTTATATTTAACAACTTTAATTCACGTTTTCGGTAATATTTTGAAAACAAAAAATTAGATAATTTTTTTTTGGCACGCGTTTACACAGAAATATCAAATTGAATCACCGATGATGCATTGTAGTTGTCACAATACCACGATCTATTATTATCATTTGTTTTTTTTTAAATATCGTTTTTGTCATTGAATTAGATGTTTGTTTGTTTGTTCATGTGGTGTTTTTTTGTGTTTCGTATTGTTTGAGAGATGTGTGTAGGTATGCATTGTGTGTATATGTTTTGTCATCATCCAATCAGTGTTTATTTTTTTTATCGAGAGTACGGACACAGATTGCATCGAATTTTGGATTTGTTTTTGGTTTTCGAAATGAACATAAAAAAAAGAAAGAAGAAAGGAAAACACAAACGATAAAAATTATATATTACTTTCCTTGTAAATTTATTAGTTTTCAACAGATTATATTTATTTTTTTTTTTTTTGTAAAGAAAATTTCATTTTGTTTCTCATCTCTAAAATTAAAATGACATTTATGACGACTTCGAATTGATTTTAAATTTAATTAATGATGTGGTGGGTTGTGATTGCCAGTCAATGCATGAGTTTTAATTACCTTATGATTGAAAGTTTAGTTTTGGTATTTTGTTCTGACATGATATGATTATGTAAAATGATTTGAAGAAAGAGCGAGAGAGAGAGAGAGAATGAGTGATATGAATTTGTGTGTGTGGATGTGTGATATAAATGAATGAATGACAAAATGAGAATGAGCATGAAAGTGTCTGGTGTTGTATGTGATTTATAGTCAAATTATACCTCATCGGAATGATATTAACAGTTGTTCTACAATCGTATTTTTTTGAAATTCTTTTTGTTTTCTGAAATGAGGACATACGAATTACGAGCTTTATGTCTAGGACTCTACTTCTAATTTAAAAAACCGAAATGAAATGAATTCCATCGAACATTGAAATTATTAAAATATTGCATGATTTGATCGCCCAGCTTCATTCGAAGACGAAGTGTTACTTTTTTTTTGAATCGTCGAACAAAAAAAAATGGGAGAGAAAATGCAATGAGAGGATGTGAAGACTTCAAGTCTCTTTGAGCCGACGGTGGCGCTCCGAATTTCAAAGAGCACATCAATGTAATTTAACAACTCAAATCGAAACTAAACAGCGCGCCAATTTTAAAATTTGCTGTAATTTCCTCCCATTGAGAAAATGTTTTGTTTTCTTCTTCTTCTTGAGCCTTGCAGGAGTAATATCATTGACCTAATAACAAATTACCAGTTTGCATTCGATTGGTGCAAGTTACATAAAATAACAATAAAGTTACATGCATTATTCAATGGTCTATCTATAAAAGGCTGCAAGTAAAATGCATATCGAACTACAAACAATTTTAAAAAAAAGAATTAAAATAAAAAAAATTAGCTTGGGCCATAAAAAAGAAAAAATGTGTGCGTGTGTATGTGTGTATACTTGACGTTTATCAAAAGCTCAATAGAAACCGATAATAATTGGATGTCTTATTTGTCGTAGGAACCAATAAAAGAAATTGTTCCAGTTTGTTTGTATTTCGAATGGCATTCGAGTCAGTATTATGAGTATGTTTCGTGCGTGTATGGATTGGTTAGCATTATATAAATCGAATCTATATAATATTTTGTAAATGGTGCTAAAAACTACGCATACATTACTAGAAAAAATATTATTATCTTAATATTTTTTGTTTAAATTTTTTTTCTTCAACGGCGATAACAGCACAACAACGAGAAAAATGAAATATACTCGATTATTATGAACGTACATGATAATTTAAGTAGAAATAAAGAAAAACACTATTGAAAAATGAATACTTCAACAACAAAATAAAAAATGTATAATAATCTAACAAAGCCGACTGTGATCAAAATCAAAATATATTTCGTTTGAATATTGCGTATGAATATTACTTAATATAGTCTACGATTCAATGATTACAATCGAGTGGAATGAAATGTTCAAATGCAACACTAACCGTCGTCAATTTTGGGACGAATATGAGCCCGCTCTTCGGATCGCATCGAATTGATTTCCGGACTCATCAACTCGCGATGATTTTCATTTGGTGACAACATGCCACTGCCATAGTGTGGACGAATTTTTGCCGGTCGATGGTGCTGTGTGTGTGGCGATGAACGTTTCAGGGCACCTAAAGCTGTAAAAAAAAAATTTCATTCAATTTAGGCGCTGGAACAAAATAACCATTTGATAAAAAAGTGATGTTGATTTACCTTCGGTTTTGATGTGAGTTGTTGGTGTAATAGTTACATTTCCATTATGAATGGGATTAATTTCGGCTCGTTTTTGTCGTTCAACAACATCACGTTCTTCTTTTATTTTCATTTGGGCAATGACACGCTGTTGTAATGATGCAGCCAAACCTGTAACATTCCAATCAAAATAGGAATATTTATTTCAAATTCTAAATAAAGTCGAATATAAAAAAACCTATACCTTCCAATGGTGGTCCGCCATTGTTACGATGCGATTCCTCTGGCATATCAGTTCGTTTCGAATGCATAATTGGTTTTGGTGGCTGTTGATTTTGATGCAGCATCGCCGTTTTTGATTCATTGAAATACGATTCCCAATTCATTTTCATATCGGCCCGAGGTAGCGGCATATATTTTGTCGGTTGTGTTTGGTGAATTTGTTCATTTTGTCGCATCGATGGTGATGTGAACGAATGATTTGATGAGGGTGAATATTGTGCCGATCCAGTTGAACGTGGTGAAACTGTTTGTATTGTCAATGGTTTTGTGTGACCGGTTGAATACGAATGTTGTGTTGTCATCTGTTTGTGATTGTGTGCAACATGTGCTAATGTGGCCAAATTACTTTGTCCATGTAAATGCACTGGTGATTTGGTGATTTCACGATTACGATTCGAGTATGCGGTCGCACCACCGAATGGTTGATGTTGCGGTGGCATCAATTCATCCATAACACGAACATTGACTCGTTCGGGCCGTTGAACACGTTCATTGATCACAGCACCAGAACTACCCATTGCCGACATATCAACGGCTGCATTTATAATGCTTTGATGTGAGATCTCAAGCGTTCGTTCAATTTCACCATTCACCAGATCGCCAATCGTTTTGGATGACATCGAACCATTGCCAGGGCCAAATTGTTGTGATATTTTCTCCTGAGATAAATGACGACGCAATGCCATTTTGGCCGGTGAAACTTGCGTGTAGTCGGGCAAATTATTTGGCGATTGTAATGGCGGTGTGGCTGCAATCATTTGTCGTCCACTGCCCATACTATGATGACCGCTTGATGCGCATGACGACGTCGATGACGGACGACTTGATGAATTGTAGGCATTCATATTTTCAGCGATAAAGGCGCGATTCATATTATGCTCATCTATTGAAACATGATTTGAAATACGTTCCACGTATCGCATTTTTTCGGGCGTTTTAAATTCATTTTTCACATCAATGTGTGGAATATATTGATTTTGATGTTGCATGATGTGTTCACGATTACTACTGTTATTGTGTGGATGATGTTGCAAATCAATATTACGTTCGTTGTCGCGATGATGTGCCAGTTGTGAATAGTTATTTATGGGTGATGGGCCATGAGGTGAATGACGCGGTGTTATCGACGCTTCGGATGATTGTGCATGATGATTCTTTTGATAATGTGCCATTGAATGAGATGCATGCTGGGCTTGATTCGAATGTTGACCGTATTTACCAGATCCGCTGGCATATTTATTCGAAATCATTGCGTATGAATTGTCGGCCGATTTGATTGACATACTGTTGTTAATGGACGGTTTAACAGCTGAAATTGTTGTGGCTGCATTTAAATGATGTGTTCCCGATATGATATTCTGTGTAAAATTGTGCGTTGGTGCTGTTGGATTGGCATTCGGTGTGGCAGCTTGTGAATTTGGATACGACGATTTTGCGTACAGATTTGATGCCGACTGTTGTGTCGGTGAAGGCTGTGCATTATTCGATTTTGGGTGATTCTTACGTTGTTCCTGATCTTGGCTCAATGCCGACGTAATGATGCTCTTCAGTCTGTCTTCAAAGTTCACCACCTTTGGTGTGTCTTGTACAATTTTCGATGAATGTTTTGGTTGCATCGGTGTATGATTTGCGATAGCAGTGGTACCTGAAGCGGCAACAACGTTCGTTTGTCCACCACGCACTGATTTAACGACAACAGTTGGTGCTGGCATTAGCGAATTATCCGCAATCAATTGCTGTGAATGTCTACGTTGATCATTCGAATCTTTGTTGTGCTTGCTGAGACGACCGGCTTCGATTTGACGACCCGTTTCGAGAATTTTCTGTGCCAAAATCTCTGGATTGTTCTCTTCAATTTTACCAACATCAGGTATGTCAGGCCATTCTTGAGATCGTGCACGACTTTCACGACTTTTTCGTTGCGATTTTGTGGTCGATGGTGCTGGTTTCGATGGCGGTGCCAACGATATTGTTGCCGATGCATACGTATTTGGTGCATGCAAATTAGAATTGGGCTGCGCATGATGCAATGGAGTAATGGTGGTTAATCGCTTTTCATCTACTGCAAACGCACTTGATGCCGATACATTTTGTGTGTTATCCATCGTTTGCATATCTTGTTCCAATGAGGTCAATTTATCTTTTAACTTCTTGCGATGCGATAATGTACTTGCGATTTCTTTCAACACCAATTCTTGTGATATTTTTGAATTCAATTCGATTGGTTCGCCTTTTGGTGTATATTTGTTTGCTATCAATTGCACTTGATTCATAATCAAATGATTATGGTCACGTTCGAGCTGACCAACTTGAGATTGTAGTTTGGCCGCTGTCACTTGTAAATCTTTGTGTCGGCCAACAATTTCTTTCGCTTTGGCCAACAAATCATTTTGACTAGTCATTTCGATGCCCAGCTCATTCATTCGCGCCTTCAGCAATGCAACGCTGTCATCAATCAGCACCTTAATTTGTTTCTCCAGTTGATTGACACGATTCAATAGATTTTTATTGCGTTCCTTTTCATCGGACACTTGTTTGTTGACATTCTCTTTGTATGCTGGATTTCGCATTTGATCCAAAGTTTGCATGTATTGATTGCGAAATAAGTCGAGCAATATTTGCAAAGCGTATGGTGTATCGCCCGGAGCAGTTGGTATATTGAGCTCTTCGTGTGTCATATTACCACTGAGTGTAGTCAACTGTTGATCCACACAACCTGGTGCTGGTGGCAATCGTCTGCCCATCGCCTGTGAACTTGTACTCGATAGTGTGTGACTGTGCAATAAATCCAAACCGACAATTTTAAAGTTTCGCTTGCGACCACCTTTCTTATTCGATATTGTTGTTACACCAGTGGCATTTGCCTTCTGTGGTCGTCTCTTTTGTACACCATTTGTTTGGTTCGTTGTTGCTGTGGTCGCTGACTTTTCGGCCGCTTTTCTCGCCAACTTTTTACGTTTCTTTAGCACATTTTGTTTTCGATTTCGTGAATTATTATTCTCTTCGTCATCTGAGTGACTGCTCTTGTCTTTGTAATTGGTGTTATCGGACCAGGTTCGACGATGTCGATTACCATTTGAATTGGCATTGACATTTGCGTTGCCGTTAACATTGACGTTGATGGTACCATTCATAATCTCTTGATCTGAATCGGTGGAATTCTCATTGGTTCCATTATTATTTCGTGTGTACCGATTTCCTCGGCCATTTCCATTTTCGCCGCCACTCTTCAATCGTTGGAAATATCGTTCCAATTTGGTGCGATCGATTACGTGCAAGTAATATGAAACCGGTTTGTCAGTCCATGACACCGATCCACGTAACGATGACATCTCTTTAACGTGCATTATTGTTCCGATGTCACTTAGATTTCTGCAATAACAAATCAAATCGTTAAGTAATGCATTATGTATTGGTGTATTATTGAAATAAAAAATGAATATTACCTTTCAGTTATACGAAAATTGAGTGGACAAAAGCTTTTCGATGATACGATTCGGGCACCATCACGTAAATCAGCAAAACGCTCTTTCAACTGATGATCAACATTTGGTCCGAACGCAAAATTATTAACGAACACAATTGTGGCGGAATTGATTTTTTCACGATGTTCATCGGCCAAAAAGTCACCTTTGATCAATTCATAATCGTTCCATTTCTTTCCAAACCATCGCATCCAACGACGAAATGTTAAATCCATTTCGACGGCATACTTTGATGGCACTTCGGCTCGTTCAATGCCCAAACATGATTTCATTTGAAGTGCACCGGCCATTTGAAGAACGACTTGACCAACGCCCGAACCCAAGTCAATGAACACATCATCGGGCGATATTGAAATTAAATCGATCATTCGACAGACCAAATCGAATGACGTTTCACCATAGACTTCGGGTGAAAATGATTCATATTTGTTGAGTTTATCTGGCTCTTCGACAGCTGTATTATAAACCAGTTGGATCACGTGACGCAAAAGTTCACGAGAAGCGAACTTATTCAATCGTTGCTCAGTCAACGATGTTCCCTTTTCCTAATAACATCAAGACAAATCGAATTAGATGATCAACGAAATTCGAAATTTTTAATGGGTCAGTAGCAGGTAAACAGAGAATTTAACTTACCAGTCCGGCGATACTGTCAATCGCTTTATTATATGTATCGCAAACGTTGCGCATACTATCATAGCACGTTGTGTCCACTTCATTTAGAATGATATTTTCGAGTGCAGCTTTGACTACAGGCATGTCCTCACATACCTAGGGGTAATCAGAAGAAAAAATAATGGAAAAATAATCAAAAGAATGGATAGCATTTCACATACCCATCGGATTGCATCCAGAATTTCGATGCCACTATCGTGGGCTGCACCGGATCCAGTTTGAAGTGGCCATTTGTAAAACATCGGCTCCACGTAAGCCGGTGAGTTGAGCTTTAGACATGGATGCTGTGACGTTGCCATGTTCGATGACAAATGGCAAATGTCTGTCACTTAACTCTTACTCACTCCTTCTCTCTCTCTCTCTCTCTCTCTCTCTCTCTCTCTCTCTCTCTTTCTATCTCTCGTTCACACACTCCGTCTCCTTTCTCTTCAATTGCTAAACCGTCTTTGCGTTTATTTATCGCCTTTTTTGTCAAATTTACTTATTTTTTTGGTCAATTTATTTATTTAAATGAATTCCTCCTGTGAATTTTCTCATCAGCTGTTCCTTGACAATAATTGTTGATATCGAACTCATTTCGGACTACGTTTATGCTACCATCAATCCATGGTTCAAAATTCGCTTTATTCTATAAAAATTCAGAGAAACAGAAAAAAAAGAAACAAAATTAATATATATACGTATTAAAAGTGGCTATTGCGCCAATTGGGAATTTTCATTCATTAAAAATGCTTATATCTTCGGATTGTAGCAATAAATTCAGTGTACAAAAACAAAATGTGAAATATTTGAGTCATTCACGCTCAAAACACATACAGAGAGAGAGTAGAATTACGAAACCGGCGAAGCACGCCATTAAGACGCGGCATTTACGCTAAACTACAAATCAGATACATAGTTCATTCGCCTCAAAATACTCGAGCTTCACGCTGCCGATTTATTCGTTATATAAGCTAAAGCAATTATTTCAAAATGTGCCTCTCTCAGACATTGGCTATATGGTTACGATTGAGCAAGAAGAAAAAGAGATAAAGAAAAGGGGAGAGAGAGAGTTCACAACATATATACAAATCTAAATGACAGTCTATGTATTTCAGATAGATATCCATCCGAGATATTTTAGAATATCTGGATATTTAACGCAGCTGCACAGAGCCAGAGCTGTGTGTATCGCACGTAGAATCTACGGTATGTCGCTACACGTAAAATACAGACACAGTGTGACTGTGTACGTGCGGCACTTGATACACATATACGTCGCGACATACCGTAGATTCTATTTGCGACGCACACAGCTCTGGCGCTGTGCAGTTGCGTTGAATATCCAGATATTCTAAAATATCTCGGATGGATATCTATCTGAAATACATAGACTGCTAAATGATGAACACCCAAAAAAAGCAATAGACAAACAATTGAAATAGAACAGCAATGGAAGCCACCAGTAAACGAGTCGAGTGAAAAAGAGAAGAAAGAAAAGTAAAGGCAAGACTCCAAGTTCGATATTTTTATACATAAATTTCTTTTATAAACGCCGCGTTTATACATTTACATGCAATGCAAAACTCTTCAGCAAACGCTTTCATTCGAAACAATCGTTATAAAAATCATATTTGGAAATGTTGTTCAGATGGAATTTTGGCGTTTTTCATGCGATAAACCATAATTCAAATTTTGTTCACCTCTCTTATGTTTTTGTTCCCTGCTTTCGCATTTTCACGCGATGAGCACGGTTTCGTGCTTTGAAGTGGATTCAAGGTAAAGTTCGGTCAATGCTCGATTTAATAAAATAAGAGCTTCATTTCCAATCGAATCAAAGAGTCATTGTAATTTTTATCGATGGTTTTTCCATTTTCAACCATTTTTCTTGTTTTTGTTTAACTTCGATACCAAAGCAATTGCAATTTATTTCACACTGAATTTGGTATGCTACTAAAAATAGATTTGGAATCAAAATAACCAAACAAACTTGCAAAGAGTCATGCAAACAATGTTTATTTCGTCTTATGTTGTTGTTGTCATTTCCCCCATTGAAATAAATTATTATTTATTTTCTTGTGAATTTTCTTATTGGGTTGAAATGGCCATTTATCATTATATTTCAATTTTATTTTCAATATCAAGGTCAATTTTTATCGCTGTTGTTGTTTTGCATAAGCGCAAGCCAAGCCGAAAGGAATGTAAAAATAAATTACTGATGTTTATGTGTGAAATTTTTGCGCGATCACTGTTGCCGTTTCGGTTAGTTTTCATTTGGCAGCACGTTCACGTGACTTTAATCAGATAACGTTTGATTGAAATGTGAGTACAAAGGGAGAAAAACAGCAAGAGAAGACGATATACATAAAATCAGATGCGAAAAAAAAAATGAGCTGAAAACGCAACAGCAGCGACAGGCGTTGGCATGTTGGTATTTATGTCAATAAATTCACTCATCACAAAATAACAGAATAAAGTGAAATAATAAAAAAATAGGTAGTCAGTTGTCGAATGACTGCCGAAACAAATTGAAACCAGGCTAATCACATGGTGTATACTTATTACTGCAAGTTTTACAATCTGCTATAGTCTCTTGTTTCGTCCGTTTTGAATTGATATGCAAATTCAGGCTTTACTACTCTGTGGTTACACATCCCGTTATTAAACGTTCGTGTTATGGCAGGATTGCAGTATTTTATTTCACTTGTTTTACTTTGAATTGTGGAAACCTGATTCCTTTTTTTTTCCTACATCGATCGTATGGCATAGCCAAATTGTAAGCGATAAATCTAAACGGCGTTTGAGATGATTGCATACTGTCTGTATTGACCTCAGATCAACCATCTGATTATTGAATATATAAAAATAAACGTAAAAAAAAAATACGAGAAATAAGCAAAACCAAAATCCAGACACAGCATTGAGTCTGACTCAATGAGTCATAACCATTGTAAATTATAAGTGTTTTTTTTTTTAAATGAACATAAGCGAAAAGAATATTGAGATATTGTGACTGAATGTAAACAACAATCCAATGAGCGAGGGTAATCAAATCAGCTCGATGTTGAATCAAAATTTCGTCAAGCACGCATACAAATGAAAATGCTCGTAAAATTCATTTGAATGTATATTCTCAAAATATACAAATTTGCTTGCGAAGCAATAAAATCAAAATAAGAGCAAAGCAAACACATTCAAACCAAGAGGCGTCATTATTTAAAATTAAAAATATGTTGATCCCAAAGTAAGCGTTCTGTTTTTTTCTAAATAAAATAATTATAATCATAAGCGAAATGCATATTCGCATTTTGGTGATTAAGAAATAATTCCAAGAAAGTAAAAAATATTGTGTACATGACCAAAATAAACAGAATGCATTGAACAATTGGAAGTGTACATGATAAACTGAGAGAGAGTGTGAGCGAAAAAAAAACAATGACGATTATCCATTGTTGATTGCGTACGGAATGAATATATATATTTATATGCTGACACCGCGTTGCACAATAAAGCTATATTGTATACTAAAATAAAATGACAATAAAAAAAATTATAGCCGGGAATGTTATTATTAATGGCATTCCACTCACGAATGCGAAAGAGAGTGTGATAGCGAAAGGAGACTGAGTGCGTATATGAATGAAGAGGTCTAGATCAAGGCTATTTGACATTGATTCTCTTTTCAATATATCGTACATTTCTCGACATTGTTCCAAATTGATACATAAATACATATGTATATAGTGTGCGTAATTGTTATTTTTAAATTAGTCGACATGACGTTACTTGAATAAACATTCTTCATTCGAAATCGGTACGCAGCTCAAGATAAAAAAAAAAAAAACAAACAAACAATTGAATCAGTTTCAAGACTTGAAACTGTGTGCTCTTTTTTTCTCTTCAGCTTTTTGTACGATAATTCACTACTCTTGGCTATACTTTCATATTTCAAGTGCAGATTTGACTTGGTTTCGTTCTTTTTCGAAAGAACGGATTACGAAATAGAATTGAAGAAAAACATGAGCTTAAGAATTGAGCCAAGAGTCAAAATGCGAAAAAAAGAATGCTAAACTCATTGTCGATATGCTGTGAGAACACATGCGCACAGCTATTCCACCCATTTATGTACATAGACTTTGATCGTATTTACAATTTTCACACAGCCGACCCAAAAGAAAAACATCGAAAAAAATTTTCGTCTTCTTCTAGCAAAGTGCACATAGAAAAACCACTGCAAAGATGAACATTTTCAATCAGCCAGTTGCTCTGTTGTCAAGTGAGAAATATGCTTTTTCTTTCTCATCTGTCACGAAGGAAAATTAAATTCATTGGCTTTTCTTGAGCCCATATTATATGATGATATGTCTGTATAAGATATAAATTTTCTCGAATTTTCAATTTAATTTTTTTGTCGAGACTGGTAAGGTCGAATAACAAAAAAAAAAAACAATAATTTTAAACAAAGCAGCGACAGCAGCAGCTTCAATGTGAGCAAACTTGTACATCATTATTTTTACGGGGATTGTCTCGAACACATATTTTTTGTTGGGTTGATATGTGAAGAAAGTAAAAATCGATATTTTGCTGCTGTAGACGCTAGTACACGCTTGAACAGAGAAAGTTCACTTGAGTTTTGTTCATCAACTTCTTGGTAAACATTACGCTTTTTGCCCATCGGAACGCCGATAGGGCAGGCAACATCCACATCAAATCATTCTATGACGTTTGTATGTGCTCATGCTTCTTTTTTTTCTCATCAGTTTTTGTATTTCTATTTTTCTTTTCTCAGCGCATTCGATGCTATGTAGCTGGATGCTGGTGTTGTTGTTCGAGCAAAAGGGAACGAAATGGCGAGGGTAGCAGCAAAATGAAAATTATGTACGAATGGAGGAGGAAAAACGACAATTGATGTGAAAATCGATGCGAAATTACACAGTGAATAGCGAAGAATGATATAGTTTGTAGACGGCTTGGGATTTCTCTAGCAATGGTATTTCCACCACTATGCCGACGACGACGCACTCTTGCACAGTTACCCTCTGTGGTATTCTGCGAATCGATTTTTCACCGTTCTATGTCAAGCAAAACTCGTCGGTTTGGGCCTCTCAATCATTGAAATATTTATCGCTTCAAGCAAGAGTACATACACACGCCGTTCAATTCATTCACTTTAATATTACGAACAAATAAATTGTACAACGCAGACAGCTATCAGAAAATTTTGCTTAGAAATGCCACTTCTACACATAAAATGTGAATGTATGAGTTCTCTAATCAGTTATTGATTTCTTTTTTTTTTGACGTTGAATGTCACAATTTTTGCTTGAAATCTAAAATTTTCACAACAATGTACATATTTCGTTGAAATGGGGTCAATGAGTAGTATCATTCCGATGTTATTCACATGCTATGGAATAGTACAAACTGTTCATGTTCAAATCAAATACAAATGTCTTGTTTCATTCCATAGCGAATGAAGATTCGTATCACAAAACGTCAAATTTCGTGCAAAATTCGACTGAAACTAACTAAACAATGCCACATTGTGTAATACAATCGATAAAATGCGCCCGATAATAGCAGCAATTATAAATAATGGCAGCGGATAAATCGGTCAGAACAATAAGCGACCAAGAAGTTTTTCTTCTC